TGGTGGATCTAATTCCCCGAGCCAGACTGTCGATAAGGACGGTTGGAGCCCAAATCCGGCTGGGATTGGAGCCCAGAGTTTTGCTATAAGGGTAACAAGAAGCTACTAGTAACAAGGGCATTACTACCAGGAGCAACGACGCTACTAGTAGCTCCTGGCATCACTACTAGGAACAAGAAGCTACTTCCACTAGGTCCAAAGATCCCACCAATTCGAAAGCTCCCACGCCGAATGGGCAGTTTCACCAGGAAAAATACGACCAAGCATTCACAGCATGGTGCAAACTACGTCTGGATGCCTTACACTCCTGACGTCCTGGTATCACGGAAGACGATTTTTCTCTACCAACCAGGGGTTTTCAGGTCCCATGTTTGTCTTCCAGGGTGTATGTTTGTCCTTCAGGTTCCATGTTTGTCTTCTGGGCATGACATTGGAAGAAGAAAAAGGTTCCAACTTTTCGCGACCTCCGTCGCCGCGGCTCCACCCCGTTCCATCGGTCACGGCCGCCTGCTGCGCCGCAGGCGAGGCACACTCCCCCTGGGCAGGTTCCGGGAGGACGGAAGGACGGAAGCGGCCCGGGCCCCGCTTCCAGGGCGACGATGAGTTTCGGGCCCCGCGTCAGGCATTTTTCGCATTGTGTTTTGACATGTGAAAAAGTGCCTTCCTTCTGAATCTCCAACGGCACAGAGCTATGAAGGATTGAAAAAAACATAACCATAAAACGCCGTAAACAACGACGGCACCCTTGCTTGGAGAAATTTGGAAAATTTGAGCTACGTACTTGATGTATCTTGATATCCTCTGCGCAATCGCAAAAGTGTTCGTCTTGGAGGCTACCTTACTTGACGGGTTTCGCTGTTTGTTTTCCCCATATCGCATGTCTTGCAGACTCGAAACATCGCTTTTGGGTCTCGAAGCAACCAAGCGAGCGACCTCGTCAGAAGGGTAGTGACTGACCCTCCAAACGCACCAACGCACGACTGCATTCTAAATGAAAACAATGGGTCAGTTGGAGCGACTGCGAACCGACACCGACACCGCCCCAACAAGGCCGGAAAATTAAGATCACTGGACCACAAGATTCACCCCATGCCGCAAAACGAGCAAGATTAAAATGGTACTAAACATGTTATATAATTGTTATATAATGTTATATCATATCATATCTTCTTTTTTTCGCTTGACAAATCGATGCTGCGTTTCTTTTAAGCCGGATACTACCTCGCGCTGCATCTTCTGCCTCTACGTCGCGCGGCCTCGAAGTAGCTCCCGCTACTTCGTGCCATCAAATGGCGAAACCGAGCACCTCTTCCTGATGTTTGTCCGGGCGCCACTTCAGGATGAGATTTTTGAAGAATGGGTGTCGAGTCTCCAAGTCCTTGGTCCAATTCAAAGTCTATTTGTGCGATGAGGTGCGCGGCCTGCCCAACCTTCGGAAAGTCGGTGTTTGGGCCATATCTCGCACCGCTGGTGGCTCCGCTCTTGTTCCTGGACACATCCTCAGCACCTCCGGGCACGTCCTTGTTGGGCTTGCTGTCACCTCCTGTAGGCCTGGAAGTGAACGCTCTGCGCCGAGCCGCCCGAGCCTGCGCGTCCAACCTGATAGCTTCAAGAGAGGCAGCCAGGGCCTGGTCCATGAACCTGGGACCGCACCGTCTTGGACGCATCGATGTCATTCATGTTGTTCCAAGCGGTGACGTCTTGGCATCCAACTTCACCTGGGTCTCCTGTGCTTGGCGATTGTCCTCTGAGAGTTGCTGGCAACGTTCATGACACTCTTGGAGGCTCTGCGACACACCCTTCTCCAAGAACTTGCTCTCAAGCGGTTGCCCTTCAATTCAGCCTCTTCCACCAACGCCCCCGTCGAGAGTCGATCGTCCAGCTGATTCGACTTGGTGTTCTCTCCGTCCCTCACCATGTCCGCTCCTCCGACAATCTCCCACATCTGGACCATGGCTCCAGCACAGTGAAGCAGTGTATCGACTATCAATCATGTGCTTTCTTGTATACGGTGACCCTTCTTTTCTTTGGTCTACCCAGCAATGGCGGCATGTGCCCTTGATCCGTGTGACACCCCACCCCACCCCTACAACTGCCTACAACCATGCGAATGGCACAACCCGCTGGGTGCAAATGTTGTACGGTCCATCCTTTCTCAAGAGAACGAAATCTAAGAACCATCCATCCAGGGTCAATGCATGTCCCTACACTCTTGCAGATCGTCCAGATCTTCCTACAGTTCACGCTGGGGCCCAGGGGTCAACCCTTCCCGCTCGTCGCCATTCGCGGCGCCTCCGACTCCACGCAGCGTCGCGCGATCCGGTGGAGCGCCGTGGCCAGGTTCACGCCGTTCCTCGGGGCTTGGCCGCGGTCCGAGGAAGTCGACCGGCGGTGGCTGGTGGGGGTTGACCCGGGAGAGGGGCTTTGCGGGCTCATTCGGGGCGATAAGGTAAGGATCCTCGAGAAGAATTTTTTTGATAGAATATGGGTGGTGGTGGTGGTGGTGGTGGTGGTGGTGGTGGTGGTGGTGGTGGTGGTGGTGGTGGTGGTGGTGGTGGTGGTGGTGGTGGTGGTGGTGGTTGTGGTTGGGTGGTGGTGGTGGTTGTGGTTGGGTGGGGTGGTGTGGTGTGGTGTGGTGTGGTGTGGTGTGGTGTGGTGTGGTGTGGGGTGGTGTGGTGTGGTGTGGTGTGGTGTGGTGTGGTGTGGTGTGGTGGTGGATGATGGCCGATGAGGGTCTGAAAAGAGTCTCTGCCTAGATCTTCATGCTCCCAGTTGCGGCAAATTCTGTCAAACAGCTGCATAAACCACCAGTTGTTGGGCAATATATTGTAGTGCCAATGCAACTTTCAGATCCTGTACTTACTTTACATTGCATATATTTGATTATCAGAAGCTTAGGATAATATATTGCAACAAGTCCTCCCACGTCTATTGCTATGCTTTGCCATTGCGTTTTCTATGACTCATCGTGGTTAGGGTAGGGCTTAGTAGGTATCCTGATTCATGCCATTTACCTAGATCCCAGTGTCCATTTGCCAACAAAATGATTTGCTGAAGATTTGATTTATCTAATTTGTGCAGCGAAAGATGTGAAAGAGGCTTTGGGGAGTGCGTGTCACTTCCAGTTGATCATGAGATGGTGATCAAAAACACTGTACACCTCTGTACACCTCTGAACCTCCGCTTGGCTGCCCCACATGTGATTGAGCTGTACTCGGACCACATCCAGCCTCGGAGCTTCGGATTGGGCTGCACCACCGAAACCAGGTTCCCGGGGCCAGAAGTCGTGGCTCTGTTTACAGGGTCCGTGCACTGCGAGAACTGCCGTGCACTGCGTTGCCAGTCCTCCCAGCTCAGCCGGAGATCCGCGAGGACTCTCGACGAAGCGAACCGAGAAGTGTTGGTTTCCTCGGGATGGTCCTCCGTGGCTTGGGAGGGAGGGAAACCTGGTTTTACAAATTCATCTGGATTGGTGGGATGTCACCAATGCCCACCCAAGAAAAAAGATGATATAAAGGCTTTCCACTCACGGACCAGAGTTGATGCATATTTTTCTGAGCCCCGCACACTCCTCTGCCACCTGGAACGCGACGAACGTCGCTGGTGCCTAAAATGGGGTCTATACCTCGGACCTATACGGTCACTTTCAGATCCTGCTTGCAGGTCACTGGTAAGGTCACTGGGGTCACTGGGGTCACTGGGCACTTGGAATCTCTTTGCATCCGAAGATCTCACAAGCTCCATAGCTCAGCTCTTCGCTCCGCCACGGAAAAAGAACTGCCGCCTCTGCCGGCTGCGTCCGTGAGCTTCCGATTGATGGCCTCGAGCTTCTTCCGTCGACGGGGGCAGCTTGGACTGACGGGGGTTGAAGCTGGGAAAGGAGGTGGGTCCTCCAGTAAGTGGTATAGTATAGAAGCAGGTGTTTGAAACATGGTTATATGGTTGAAAAGGGGGGAAGCTGCGACATGCAAGGCAAAAATGCATGTTTGCAGATCAGATCAACCTCCTGTATCGCCCAATATACTTTCATGATGTACATGTTCCAAGTGTACCAAGACACTGGGCGAACCTTCCTTCCCCTTCACCTCCAGTGCCCGGTTTCTCCGGACCCAACCGCTTCGGCCGCTTCGGCTTTTTCGCCCACGTTCGCGCCATCGTTCGCGCTTCGGCCCCTTTCGGGGCCCGGGGGGAGCGATTCACAGGGTTCGAAACGACGCTGCACCAAGCGAGAACCCCCAAGCGACTGAGATCGGCGGGTTCCCAGCATGGTGGATGAGTTTCCAAAGAATCCACAAGCAACCCCCGACGTGAAAAATGAATGTCGAATGCCAGCTACCCTCTGAAAGGGCAGGCAACGCTCCCGAAAGTGCAGAACAGTGCATTTTGAATCAAGGGGAACGCATCTGCAAATGAAGAATGCAGTCTGCTGTTGTTACCAACTCTGGTCGGTCGCCCAGCGGCTTTCGCTGGAGTGATCTGGAGATCAAAGATTTTCTTAGAGGACAATGGTATTGCTCGAACCTGAGGGTCCTCAAAGTCGCGGTTGGAAATTAAAAGCTGCTGAGACCTCATGAGACCTCTAGAAGTTCCAAGAATCGTATGTCCAGCAGTTCAGTACAGTCTTCTTGAGGCGAATCCTGAATCTCTGGAAACCCACAGGCTTTCGCCACCGAAGCTGGGTACCAGCAGCTAAGATCACCCGATGCAGCCAACTCGCGCCACGCCCAGCGCAACCGGGCGAGCCCGGTGGCGGTCCCAGCAGGCACCGGGTTCTGCAAGTTGAGGGTGGGTGCCCCATCTCTGACAGAAACGTTTGAGAGGGGCACCGAGTGCCCCTGCTAACTTCGCGCTGCGGAAGAACCCAAAGAAGTGTGACTTTCTAATGCTGACATCCCCTTTTCATCTTGATAAACATGAAGAGCACAGCATTTGAGCTTGAGGAATAGACCCCTGTGGTGAGCACTGAACTCTCCCAACTATACCGCTAGGCTGGTAACTTCGTCCACAAGAACCTGGCCTGCCACATCTCCAAGAACAAACAAAGCAAACTCAACTACCAGCACCACCCATCTTCGGGTGCTTCTTGGATGGTAAAATGCTTCGTAAGCTTCGCCACCATTTCACCCAAGTTTCTGGGTGGTGCTACATCAACGGACAAAGGACAAACTCCACGACCTGAGGTCATCTCCCTTAAAGAGACGACCCCGGGGCTACTCCGTAGGCCATGGCTACACCGGTGCTCCACTCAGCAGCAAGCCAGGCAGCAACGGGGAGCATCTTCGATCTCCTACGCGTCGACCGGCCGGTGGAGGCACGGAAAGCTCATCCAATCGCGCCAGAATTCGGGAGTTGGGTTTGGACCTGAAAGACTCTCCTGGTCTCCGCACATGAGCATTCTGTGTATACAGTATTTACATGTATTTACAGTATATTATACACGTTACATGTTTATAGCCAGCAGCTGAGCACATGCCCCGAAAAATATACAGTAACAGTAATAGTAAATAATTTAGTAATATTTAGTAATATATCCTCCAAATTTGGGTGTGGCCTGTCCAACATAGGCTCCACCCGTGTGTTGCCCTCTTGGTCAGCACGAAAAGAGGCCTGGTCCCTTGGACTCTCGTCTGCCCATCTCCAATTCTTTGGTGTCAGTGAGCACCTCATGTCCTCTTAGGTCCTTATTCTGATTCTCCGGCCAATGGAAGTGGCACACGAACTGGACACCCGTTTTTCGGCACGAGCAGCAAACTTTTCACACCCTCTAGCACCCTCTAGAATGTCAAGTCATTTAAACCAGGACCCTCCGTTCAGGATGTCTGATAATTAGCCTCTTGGAGGTGATTCTGGGTCCTGGGTGTCCAAAAACCACCGGACTTGGAAGCTCCACCGCCAAAATCCGTGGCCCTGAATCCGTCCTCATCCACCCCCTGTCACCCCATCCCGGTCCACGAGACGATAGTGTTGTGCAGGACGAACGCCACGCCCTCTCATGCAGAGATCGGTCTTTGCAAGCACTTCATCCACCTGCCGTCGGACTCGTCCAACGGAGCGGACGACCCGCCACGGACGACCCGCCACGGAGGACCCCGGCGGTCCCGTCGCGGGAGATGGATGGGTGGAGGGCTGGAGGCCGTCGCGGTGTCAGAAGGGCGTGAAAAAGCAGGCTTGACAAAAGCAGGCGGACGGTCTGACCGAAACCGAAGAATAGAATTCGTTCGTTAAGAGTTTGAGTATAGATGGCACGATTTTCCAAAAGGTGCCATCTAAAAGACCTGCAACAACCAAAGGGAGTTCACTCCGCAGGTCTTGTTCTCATCTCTCTGCATCCAACTGGGCACCCCCCCCGGACCAGAGTCGAGTTGGGCATCGATTTCTGGAGTGTCCTCTCTGCTTCCAACATCGCCGAAGTAGCGCGGAGCGTCCGCGCGCACGTCCGCCGTGCCGCGGGCAGAGGCCGTGCCGAGTGCCGAGGCCGTCTGGGCCTGGAAGTTTTGTGAAGCTGGATTGGCCTGGTAGTTCATACCTCAGATGTTGGGCGACTGACGGCCTCCCACCATCCGGTGATTGGTGCAATCCGAAGACTGGTCGATCGCAAGTCTTCATTATTATTTAAGTTAGATCTGGCACGGTCAAGTCCACTTCAATTCCTTGGGTGTATCCTATTGACAGTAACAGTATAGTATATAGATGATGGTTCCGTTGCAGGCCTTGTTCAAGAATTGTGATAATGATTGTTTACTGACTGTTACAGGTACAGAGGATTCAGAGTAGATGGTACAGACCCCATGATGTCCTTTGGATGGGGGTCCATGTAAACCACTGTTACTTGGGGGGCCCCTCTGCCATCTACTCTCAACCCTCTGTAATAGGACAGACCCAACATATTCCACTCCTGCCGCCCACTCTCATGAGGCTCAAAAGGATGCCCCATCTACTCGTGTCAAGAGGCCAATCAAACGCAGCGCAGACATCAGGCCAATCCTCTTCCTGAGTGCCGAGACCGACGGGTCGTGTTCTGGCTGTGTTGGTGTGCTCGACACCCCGAGTTGAGTAAAGGAGGGGCGATGGGAGATTGAGGTTTTTGTTTGCAACTTGAGTATCTCTTAGTGGCTGAGATGGGGCAAACCTGAAATCCTCCAACCAAAAACAAGATCCATTAAATCCTCAAATCCCTCAAATACTAGGCTTAGGGTCGTGAGCGTGTCCCTCAAATCCTCCAACCACCCGACCGGGGTCTGGTAAAATCCCGACCTCACCGGATCAGCATGGGTCAAATCAGGTGGATGGAATTCCCAACTGTGTGGCCGAACCTGCTCCTCCGACCTCGGGGAGTTGATGGAATCTGTGCTATATACAGTAACCCTCAGGATCCCCTCTGTTCCCACCCCCCAGGGCCCCCCCTGATGGGTCGGGTCCCGTCGCCCATGGTCGCCAGTGCCCCCACCCGCCACCCGCCAGCGACCCGGTTTGTCGCTCCGTCCGGGGCACTGTCCCACTTTGCCCGTGCGTTCCATGCGCGAGTACTTCGCCTGGGGACCGGCGGCCGAGGAGCCAACAGTGGCGCCCCCCGGCGGCTTCAACGGGCACATAGATGGAAGGGCATCAAAAACGTGGTACCAAAAAGGTCAGAAAATGGGGGTTGATCAAAATTTAAGGATACTTAAGGTACCTAGATGGTATCTGGGAAAGCTGCCATCACCGATCAATCGCAGTGCACACAGTTGTCCATCGCGGGATGTATTTTTCCCAGATAACGAGAGCATACGAGAGCTAATTAGTGGGGTTCTTACTTCAAGTATATAGGGAGAGCTCCATGTGTGCGCTTTCGAGCCTGGGTGCTGGTATCGTTGCAGGGTCATATAATAATATATCATATCATAACTATATGACCTGCAACACGGTGGTCTGTGCGAATGTTTTGGACACGGGTGACCGCATCGATCAGAGGGATTCCATACACTCTGGAAGATTATATAACATGGAACCTGAAAACCACTGGTTTGCAGAGGAAAGTAGTCTTCCAAAGGTCACCAAAGGTCCATTTTCAGGTTCCATGTTGACTTTCCCGGGTGTACGTCCACTCGAAATAGGCCTCCACTCTGCTGTGTCAGTCCGATGTTCAGTTCACCCCCTCACTCCCCCCCTGCGCTTCGCCCACGGCCTCCAAGCGTTGGCCCAGCAAGAGATAAAGGGCCTCCGTGTGGCCGCGGGTCCCCGTGCCCTACCTTCCACACTGCCGAGATCGGCAGGTCATCCGGCCAAGCAAGTTGTTTGAAGTGATCCTAGTCTTCACCCTAGGAGTCAGCAATGTTCTGCTGGGACATCGGTCCTAAGCAAACATCCCCCCAAAACATCCAAAAACAACATAGAAGGTGATGCTCCATCTTGCTCAAATAGGTCGTGACGAAAAGACCCCTGTCCAAGTCGTCGCGCACCAAGTATGACGCGGGACCCCTGAGTTTATCTAGTCCCAAGCAGAAAACACTTCTGGATGGAACCCCCCAGTCCCTGCCACTTCCTATGTCAAATATGAAAAGCTTGCAGTATTGGCACAATCATTTGTCTCTGGTTGGGATTGGGTTTCCAGGCAGGAAACTCGTAGGGAACACTCTGGAGTTGCTTGGCTCTGGCCATGTGGCCTAGTTCGGCTGCAACAACATCACTGACTGCGTGTCCCAAACACTCCATGTATGGCATATCTATGCCGCCCCATTGACCCCCTCCTCTTCAACACAGTTGATCGGTCGATCTGTTGGTCGTGTCGACAGCTGTTCAGCCCGTTTTCACCCTTTTCATTGACTCGGTCCCCCAATATTTCCCGCGAATCGAACCAACCAACTCCCCTCGTCGATCAATCCTCTCTCGTTTTCACCGTGAGGGTCTTGACGGTCTTGACCGTCGATGGAGGTATGGTACCACCCGGTGGACACCAGGGGCCCCAACGAACAACGGGTGAAGGCGCTTCTGGGAGAAAGTGACATCAACATAAGTCAACGGCCCGTATGTTGTCCGGGATGCTAGGGCTATGGGTTTGGGTGTGTCATCCTTGCTTCTGTTGAAGGACCCAAAGGCAAACTTGGAACTCGCTTTTCTCATCCTTGTTCTTCCTCAGCCCCCAGGCGCAGTCGGAGAAGCTGTTGCAATTCTTGCATAGCAGGTCCTCAGAGGAAGTTCCACTCGTGACGGAGCGCGAAAAGCACCGTCTGAGTCTCAGGTTGATGGATACCTCCCGCATCCCCTGGTGGCGGCCACTGCACGTCTTTTCTGGGGCAAGGCGGGTCCGATCCTCCGTCCTCGAGTCCTCGACCTCCTTCAGTTGCCTTGCCCCTAGAAGTCGAAAGACTATTTTGGGCACCACCCAAGTCAAGGAAGTTCCTTTTCGGATCATCTAAAGACCGTTTTAAAAAAATGGTCGACTGGACTCCCAGGGCTGCTGTTTCTGATTCTGCACAAATTCTGCTGTACCAGCAGTTTTCGAGAGAAATGCTTGGTTCTTCGTCCGATCTCCAGGGGCTGTGGACCCTCTGGGCACGTACGCTGGCGGCAGACATGGAACCTCCAGGGAGACCCCCAAACTCGAGCTCCACCGGCGACGGCTAGGGGTCATGTTCAGCCACGAAGTCTGAACCCAAGCCTCCCCGCACCTGGGACATCCTAAGACGGATTTGCAAGGAAACACCTGTTCAGGTGTATGGTAACAGGGGTCGCCACTTCGTCTCCCTATTGAAAAATACACACTCCTTCGCGGGAGTCTCGGCTCCAAGTCCGCCAAGCTTCATAAGTGCCCGGCTGGAAGAACTGGGTCAAGAACTGCACCATCTGAGCGCAGCACGACCCCCCGCACCGGGCTTCGACCAAAGCCACGGTGATTTACGACCACGGCGGGTGTTTACCCCGTGGCGGATCAGGAGTGGTATTTTCCAAAACCCCACACCCAGAAGGAATCCAACCACTCAGAATGACACTTCACCATTCAGAATAGTGTTCATTAGGTGTCATGAGTTACCAACATCGAATTAGTGTTCCACTCAGAAAGACACACCAGCATTGAATCGCCTGGTGCGCTGAGAAGTTGGTGTGCCCCATCATCCGCCTGAAGCATCGCAGCGGTCGCCGGGAGCAGCGGTGGTCACTGCAAGGAAGAGCGTCCTTTCTTTGGGGAACCAGGACATGAATCATTATCCATGAAAGGGTGTGTGTGTGTGTGTGTGCATCACACGCAATAACATTCGGTGTACACAAGTTCACTTGATACTATGTTCATATCTGCTTTGGAAGGGGTACCAAAACAAGAAACTTCGCTTGGTACCCAAAAGCCTGCTCATATATTTTCTTGGTCGATGCCCGGGACTTCGTACAACTGAGACTAGTGTGGTCTATGTCTTACATACTGACTGTTTGGAACCAAAATTTAAAAATTCCAAAGTGCCAAGTGTTGGAATGTGCTCAAATGCAATCAAGCTGACCATAAATGAACCAGCTGGCGCCCACTAGAAACCCCTTTTCGGCCGGTTCATCGTTCACGGGTCTGCATCGTTGTCGGAGAGCACTTGGCACTGCAGGGGTTGAGTGCCAGATGCATAATTGTACATTTGGGGGGATGGGTCAAAACCTGGAGCCCTGGTCCACCATGTAGTGAACGTCCTTCCAGCTACGTCAGCCGGCCGCTCTCGTGGTGCCGTACAACCACACCACAATTGGTTGTATGCGACCACGGGTATTCTCATTGTTCTTCTCCCATAAACCCACACTCAGGCCATCCTTCCATGTTTCCGAGCGACACTTCGGTTTGCCGCTTCAGCATGGAGTGAGACACGTAAGGTCTAGTGGCCTCAGTCAGGGGTCGGCCACCCGAATACCGGGAACTCCGGCAGCTTTTGGTAGTCAAAAGCTGGGAGACAAGCACAGCACATGTTTATACATACATAATACATCAATTACATTCAACTACTACATAGTATATTGTAAATGTTTGGAGCAGCTCCAGAAACTCATAACGCCCACGGTTTACCACGCGGCTCGGGCGGAACCTGTCGGGAGGTGGTCTGTCCCACAACACCAGCACCCGACACCTGGAGGGCTGTCCAGGTGTCGGTGACCACCTGGAGGGCCGCTGGGCCGTCTCTCACTCCTTGCCGCAAGGCGATCCTTGGAGCCTTGCATAAGCTATTCAAATCGAGAAGTGTATTCAAATCGATGCCATTTACCCATTAGTCCCATAAGTAGACGGCGCTTGAACAGTTCTTCTCTCTCTACCTCTCTCTATAGGGGCCAATTCATACAGCTGGTTGGGGCCCAGCTTCCTTCTATTCTCGCTCTTCTTCTTCTAGGGGCCAATTCTGACCGCTGTTTCAATTTCAGCTGGCGGGGCCCAGCTTTCTCAGCTCATCACAAGCAAGTCTGTCGACAATTTTGACGTTTGTCCAACTTTGCCGAATTAGTTGGAGCACCCGCGACGGCAGGTAGGCAGGTTCATAAGTATATACACGTTGGAGGACTAGGCGGTTTCCCACAGGAGGGCCGCCACTTTTGGCAGCTTTTGGGGTGTACCTGGATAAGCTTGCAGAAAACTTGGCGCATAGGCAGCAGAATCTGCACCAGAAGGATGCCGGGTGGTATGTTGCTGGCTTTTGATTATTCTTTTGCCTTTGACACGTTTGTCTCTCACTCCTTGCCGCATGCCGCAAGGTGATCCTTGGAGCCTTGTATACGCTTTTCAAATCGAGAAGTTTACTTCTTGGCAGCGCTGACGCCGGGCGCTATCTTGCGGCCTCTGATTACTCTCTTGCCTTTGACATGGCTGATCCGCACTTGGCATTTGTGTCCTTAAAGGAGTAGCCATGCCTGACTCCTGGACTAACGTATAAATGTCCATTCGGACTAACCAACGCAGGTTTTTGCAGCTTGCGGGGGCTGCTCTGTCCGCCTCTCGCTTGCATTCCTTTGCCTCTCGCCTGCAATCCTTTACATGCGTCTCCCAGCTTGTTCCCGTGTCCGTCTGGGCTGCGCCTTGCAATCCTTAACATGTGCTTCTCGCTTGCAACCCTTCACATTTGTCTCCCAGCTCTGGCTGCATGTCGCTTGCAATCCTTTACATTTGTCTCTGGGCTGCTGTCCGCCTTTGGCTTGCAATCCTTTTTATTGGTCTCCCAGCTCTGGGCTGCTGTGTCCGCCTCTGCCTTGCAATCCTTAGTTTTACATGTGTCTCCCAGCTCTGACTGCTGTGTCCGCCTTTGCCTTGCAATCCTTTGCATTTGTCTCCCAGCTCTAGACACCTCCACCTCTGCCTTGCAATCCTTAAATTTACATGTGTCTCCCAGCTTTCGACTGCTATTTCCGCCTCTGCCTTGCATCCTTTGTCTCCCAGCTCTGGACGTCGCAAACTCTGCGCAGAGTGTTCCCATCTTGAAAACACAAACTGTTTGGGGTCTACGATGGTGTAGTTTATCAATCCAAAATCTCAACACATCTGGATTAATTTAGTTTTCTTGATGCATGGTAGTATGCGGATTAATTCAAAATTATTCTGGGTGTATGCTACATAGGTACTCTGCTAAGGACTCCAACATAGTTTTCATTTGATGCTCAGACTCCATATTCAGATCAGAAAGGAGTGATCAGATTTCAAGAAAAGTGGAGTGGCTGTCGTCCGGCTGGCCGAGGACAGTCGTGAAAAACTGGAATGCCATGAAAGAAACCTGCCTTCACCTGAGCTATGGTCACGTAGAATTCCCACAAAAAAAAAGGACAGTGTCCAGTGTGGGGCCCACTTCGGCAAGGCCGTCCGTCACTTTCACTTTGCCGTGGAAGGCGTCCACGTAGGTTTCGTCATTGGCAAAGTATATAGCCGCGCCTGGTTACCTGACACGAACACAGGGAATTTCAACACCGACAGACCACACCAACAAGGGTAGTTTGCAACACCCTGTTGCCTCTGCCGGATCGGGCAGGGATGCCGAAGGCATCAGCAGCAAAGGCATCCGGGCATACTGCTGCTGCGCCGACTCACAATGGGCCAAAACCTGACTGAGTTTTGGCACAAAGTTCGCGCCGCGGCGCTCCTAAACATTGTTCTATCGTCAGGCCTCAATCGCAGACTGGCTGCCCGACAAGGACTCCGAGGCATACACGACTAAGCCGTTCTACCGTGCGGAAATGGCCGTGCCACAAAGCATAGACAAACGGATGGCCACGACAACGGCAATGATCACATAAACTCTACTACGGCTCTACTACACTACACTGGTATACCCGCCTCCAAGGAGAGCGGCGCGTGGCTCCACAACTGCAGCCGCCGCGGCTTGAACCCTTTCATGCCCCGATCCACGCTGAAGAGTGTGGATTGGAGCTCTCGGCTGACACGGCTGGAGCCGAGTGCGCCGGGGATGACGGCGCTCCAATCCCACGGCAAAAGCCTGCCAGACGGCAAAGCGACGCGAAGTCGCCGGTCACGACGGCCGACCATCGATCAACCAACCGAAGAGTTAACAGCGTTGACATAAATTTGCAAAGTGAAAAACCGTGGCCAAAGCACCTTTCAGGGTTAGGCCGCTTAGCGCGGAGCCGCCGGCAGCAGGTGGGGTCCGGGGCCATGTCGACGTCCACCGCCGTTCGAAACCGGGCGTCTGTCCGGTCGAACGCCGCTGCCTTGGCCTTGGCTTTTTTGCACGGTTCAATTATTTCGTTTTCAATCGATGTTTATTTTCCCTTTGGTTGAAAATTTGAAATTTGTTTTGGGAAGAAGTGTTACCTCAGCCGCTAAGCCTAGCAAGCCAATCTTGGCCTCAGACTCATGCTTCTATTTCTGGATCTGGCCCGTCTGCTGGCGACGTTGGCAGGTGAGGTTGGCTCTGCCGGGAAGGTCGGCTCGAGAACCCGCCGCACGAACTGTTGCGAGCGCTTGGCCTACTTGTAAGTTTTGGTGTCTCCAAATTTGCTCTGATAATATTAGATATATTCAAGCACAGCATGAAACGGCGGGATATGGTCAATCTCAGGTGGTCAAGGGTTCTTCCCTCACCATCCTGATGGCACATTCACGTCCCTCGCAGCACAAGCACAAGAGCCAAAAACAGTTCGAGTGAAAGTGAAGGATTTCTTCCCCGAAGCATCTGCACGTATCTGCCCTGGATTTCCACCGCCAAGTCCCCGAAAATCCGCTCCGGACATGCAGCCAGTGTCGGCCTGGGGGCGTTTGGTCATCAAATCCACCCACCATGTGCGAAAACAGGGTGGAAAACCGCCTGGCCCTCCAAAGTGTATACTTATGAGCCCCCTACCTGCCGTCACTGGTGCTCCAACTAATTCGGCAAAGTTGGAAAAGCGTCGAAATTGTCGAAAGACTTGTTTGTGATGAGCTGAGAATGCAAGCGAGAGGCGGGCAGAGCAGTCCAGAGCTGGGAGACACACGCAAAGGATTGCAAGGCAGACGCGGACACAGCAGCCCAGAGCTGGGAGACACATGTAAAGGATTGCGAGGCAGAGGTGGACACCGCAGTCCAGAGCTGGGGGACACACGTAAAGAGTTCTTGTTGGTCATTGTCCGCCTTTTCTTCCTTCTGTCCTTTTGTCTCCCTTCTTGTCTCCGGTCTTGCCTCCCTTCTTGTTGGTCACTATGTCGGCTTGTCTCCTTTCTGTTTCCTTTTGTCTCCCTTCTTGTTGCGCGGTGCCAACCTCTGCCTTGCAATCCTTTCCATTTGTCTCCCAGCTCTGGACTGCTGTGTTGCAATCCTAGGGAGACAAGAAGGGAAACAAAAGGAGACAGAAGGGAGACAGTGACCAACAAGAAGGGAGACAAGACGGGAGACTAAGGCGACTAAGGGAGACAGGAGGGAGACAAGGTGGACACAATGACCAACAAGAAGGCAGACAAACAAGGGAGACAAAGGGAAACAGGGAGACAAGGCGGACACAGTGACCAACAAGAAGGGAGGCAAGACCGGAGACAAAGGGAGACAGAAGGGAGACAAACCGGACGCAATGACCAAAGAGAAGGAAGACAAAGGGTGACAAGCCGGAGGGAAAGCGGACACGCTGTCCCGCAGCAAGGTGGACACTCTTAGAAAGCATTGAGAACCCCTAACAGTAACCTCTTTGGAGAAAAGCTGCATGGCCAGCGGAAAGGGCGGACCCCAGCAGTGCAGGCACCGAACCTGGGAGACATAAGTGGGAGACAAATGAAAAGAAATACTGCATGGCCAGCGGAAAAGAGAGGACGCCAGCAGTGCAGGCACCGAACCTGGGAAACAAAAGTAAAGAAATCACATGGGAGACAAATGAAAAGAAATGCTGCGTCGCCAGCGGAAAAGGGCGGGCACCAGCAGCGCAGGCACCGAACCTGGGAGACAAAAGTAAAGAAATCACATGGGAGACAAATGAATAGCAATGCTGCATGGCCAGCGGAAAAGGGCGGACACCAGCAGTGCAGGCGCCGAATCTGGGAAACAAAAGTAAAGAAAGCACCTGGGAGACAAATGAATAGCAATGCTGCATGGCCAGCGGAAAATGGCGGACAGCAGCAGTGACAGAAAGGGCGGACACATCTTAAGAAAGAATTTAGAACCCCTAACAGTAAGCTGTTTGGGGAACAAAGGGAAAGGTGGTAGGTATCCTTAAGTAGGCGCAAAATCAGTCCTGGTTTCTTTCCCTTTTTGTATGGCTTTTCTTGCCCCTTCCCTTTATGTATGTGTTCATTGTGTTTCTCCAGCACAAGCCTTGGATCACAGAATGATTTCTGCAACTGGTTTTCTAGCACAGCATGTTCCAGTCAGCATTCAAAAACTATTCCGACAAAATGCAGGGGTCTACCCCCCACCCCACCCCCAGAAAATTAATCCTGGGAAATTAATCTAACAAAATTAATCCAATAGCCCACATGGTACCCAGGATTAGTTTTCCAAGGACCCACGCATTGAAAACTCTCCTCAAGTCGTCCCGGCGTCCTCTCCTTCATCCGCACCTCAAGGTGAAACCTTCCATGCCGGTGGTCTGCTCCAGTCCCCTGCTGTGCAGCTGAGTTGCCCTAATCCCTTGGCCGCTGAAGGCATACTCCACCTAACTCCAAGGCCACCACCGACCATCGGGGTGACAAGGGTGCTGGCCCGCCCTGGCTTTAGATGAAAGGCACCCGGCCAAAAGGGCAAAGACTTGATCGAAAGGGATGAATCTTCTTTTTGACCTCTTCCATCTGCACACCTGTGCTGGTCCCAAAGCCCCTATGCTGGGATGTTCGGAATGGGGTCAGTGCTCATGTTTGCTCGAAAAGCATGACCCTTAGAAGGATCTTTGCCTTAGAAAGTCGGACGTTGACCTTCTGGAAGCCACTGCTTTCTAATCATCGAGAGCACCTAACCTTCGATGTGGAGCAGTTGAGTCCACCTCTGCTCGATAGCAGGTAGTTTGACAGTCACCTCGACGACAGTCCGCGCTCGTTGACGTTCTGAACTGATGGAACTCGACCCCCCCGAACTCTGCACATTCGCACTAGATCTTGAAATCTCTTGAAGTGGATGGGGTCGACATGGGTCGACCCCATCCGCCTTAGACCATGTCATAACCGCAAGGTGTCCGTCCTTCAACACGACCTCTTCCCAACTGGAAGAGGTCCGAACCCTCGCCCCGTGGCGACCCCTCGGGCGGCCCTGCGTCACCCAGGACGATGGAGGTGTGGAAAGCATCGAAGGGCTCCTGGACACGGAGGGCAGACGCGCTGCGCTGCGCGCTGCACGTCGAGGACGCGCGCAAGCGCGGGAAGACGCGCTGGTCGAATGGCGGACGAAGCGCACGAAGAAGAAGAAGAAGTAGAAGAAGAAGTAGAAGAAGAAGTAGAGGGTAGTATGACAAGTCGGACGAAAAAGGGCCGGGCCAGGCACTGCCTGCAGCATCCCCCAAGGGGGTGTGAAAAATCCATACATCTCTCCCGAACCGGATGGTCCAAGGTGGACCACCGGACCGCCGTGGGGAGGTGAGGTGAACGCGGACCCGGGAAAAGCCCAAGACTCGCTGCACGTGGGAAAACAGGAGCGACTCGTGAGATCTATACCTCGACTACCTGGAGTCTCAGTTCGTACTTCAGAAAATGGGTACAAGTACCATCAAGTACCTGCTTTTCATGGTTTTTTTAATAGGGTCATGTCCCATGTTCCAAGGTACCTTGGAGTGGTCCAGGTAGATCATATATATATATATATGACTCGGATGACTCAGATGACCGACTTACACCGTTCCGAGGCGGAAGGAAGCTGTTTTAACCGGAAGTCCCTAGCCTCAGGTTCCATGTGCATCTTCCCGGGTGCTGAGATTCCCTTCATTGTTTGAGAAAGGTTCTCCAACCATGTCCAACCCACCCGCTGAACTTGACTCTGGTAAAAGCTAAGAGCCGCAAGAACCGACTCAGGCCGATCGGCCGATGGATTCCAAAGACCCGGAGTGACAACCTGGTATCCCTGGGCGTTGATGGTGAACTACCCTTGCGGCACCCCAGGCTTTTCTCATGTCTGCCTCTTTTGCAGGCAGACATGACGATGTAAAGCGGCTTCAGATAGAGATGAGGACACCATGCGAGATGGAGATGGGGATGTTCTTAAATGTTGATGAGTTTTTCCGTGGAGGATCTCTTCCAGCCTAAGAATCCCTGTTGCGTTTGGAGCCAGTTCGGCGGTGTCATGGTCTGGTCCTGTTCGTTTGGTTCATGGATCACCCCGAATCAGCTCCTTTCGGATCTGACTCCACTCAGTTGTTCCTTTCGGAAAAAAGAAAAAAAACAATCCCCAAAAACGGTCACCATATGTCACCATCCATTCTTCTTCAGATGTATGTTGAGCTGACCCCGAAGCCGGAAATCCCAAGGCTGGAGACGTCAAAAGGTAGAACATGGTTAAACGATGTTAAACGAACTTGCCACTGCGGTGTCACCAATCCACCACCCACAATCATGGAAGTGCATGGCATGGCCCCTGGAAAGACCATTGAACTCTATACAAACACCGGGTTCTTCCTTATTACTTCCAGCGACCAGCACCGCCCCAGTTCGGGTGAATTTCCTAGACCCCGTTGACGATGTATATTATAAGTTCCCATCCCAACACCACCCGACCTCCGTGGTGAATTCACGGTCGACCGTAGCCGTAGGCCCCACTCTTCTGGATCCATCCCATCCGCCGACCGGCAGACTGAGGTCGCGACGGCACCGCGCATCTTCGCGGCCGAGGGCAAGTGGAAGAGCACCGTGGCAGCGAGCCTCAGCGTCGCGCTCGACCACGGTCGAGTTGGACGGTGGGAACCGACGTCGTCCTCGGCCCCAGAAGTGGTTGCACTCATTGAAATAAGATGAAATGAGCAGCATAAAGGTCCACACACACACACACACAACACACATAATATCATACGCTACACATCACACTACACGAAGGTCGTCTGGCCACGAGGGCCCAAACATTCCTTCTTTGAGATCTACAGACATCTGGAGTCCAACTGAGCCATGGCCAGTCAAACCCGGACCCTGCGGGCTTCTAGACGCTTCTTAGCTATGGCGTGGCGTTCGCTTCGCCTGACTCACCAAGTGGCTTCACTGGGCTGGGCCCTCCAAACATCACCTGGGCTTGTCGGGACGGTCAGCATGGGCACGGGCGGGCAGGACGGGCGAAAGGTGCTCGGCTTGAAAGCAAGAACCCCAATGGCGCAACCCGGCTGCGGAAGCTGATTTCTCTGTACGTTGCAATAAGGTCAGACTCCTACCCGGTGATCAAATAGGGTCCTGATTGGTGGTAAATGTTGCAGGGGCTTGCACCTACTCACTGCCTACACATCCTACACAGAGAATAACTTGAGAACAGCGAAACCCCAATCATATCTCCCATAGATCTCCATGATGGCTGACCCACAGCAAGAGAAAATAGATCTTCTCCAACATGAGGAGTCCTTGAGATGGAGCCAAACACCCTTTGACCTCTCAATGGGTTACCCATAGACAGCCCTTACGAGGATCCTTGTCACTGTACCCGAGGATTCCTGGCCAACGACTAATTTAATGTTTCTTACCAAACAACCATTGCTGTACCTGTTGTACTAAAGGATGTTCCACGTCCCAAAACTGACAATATCTTGCAATCCCACCCGCCTAAGAACAGATAACACCCAGACCAACACCCAACGCTCCCGTTCTTCGGCTTCTTCCGACCGGTGCCCGTCTTTCCCATCCAACACCACCCGCCGGTTCCGACCCGTCGTGCCCGCCCGGGCCGACCGAGTGGCTGGTACAGACACCACGGATTCAGCCGTCCCCATGGCTCGCCGCGAGGATTCGGGATGCCCAGGCCGCACGCACGGTCGCCGCGGAACGGTTGCGTCCCGTGTCGCGTGTCGGCGGAGACGCGGTGTTGGTGGACGAGTGAATGGATGCGATGCCATTGTGGAACCGCTTGGTCTGTGGGCCTTTTTCATAAGAATTCTGCTTGGGACCTGGATACCTTTGCTGGGGAAGCTGAGAGCTGAGAACCTGCGAGGCAGTGACAGTGTCAGAGCATGATCCAGGCTGCTTGGGCCGGTCGCCGCTGCAACGCGGAGCCCGAAGGTGATGAGTCTGAGCGAAAGAGACTGCATCCAAAGCACATCCAAGCCATGGTGAGAAGAATAAGTGTTGGATGTGCTTCCGGGGAAACCTGAAAATTCACATCGAATCTGTGTCAGTGTTGACGACTGACGGTGTCAGGTCTCTTCCTTCCACCCACCCGGTGTCGCTGCTTCGCACCAGCGGTGCCCGACTTTAGTAATGCTTCAAAGCCTTCAGTGAGTCCTTCACCGAACCCCCCGAGTCCGCACCAAGCTCCAACGAGCCGGCAGAGCTCCAGCGACGCTCCGGAGCGTCCCCCGAAACATCGCCGGAGGGGCCGCCGAAACATGTCACGCGCGTGTATTTGATACAAAAATAGGGAGACCAAGACCTCCTAGTCAACCGCCTGGATGGTTTGGAGACCAGTCTATACCCAGTCAGGGCCAGCTCTCCCTACTAAAATACACCAGCAGTTTCATGGAGGAGAGGGTGCTATCCATGGAGGCAGCACCTCGGTGTCCCTGTCACACCAAACCCAAGTCCATGTGACTCCATCCTCCCATCTTCAATCTTTTGTCCGCCAAACAAAAGACACGGATGCATCCGTCCCCCCAAAACCGCCCTCGATGCTCCGCCATACTCCGCCTTATGCAGCCTCACCTGGTTCGAGCCGCTCCGCGCATCGCCTGCTCGGAGGCCGTGGACACCCAGGCTTAGCCGGGAGGTCCGAAGAGTGGAGGTTTTGCTGGGTGTTCCATTGACCACCTCTTGGGGGGGTCCTGGTTTTGCACAGTCCGTATGCTAAGACGTGAGAGTCCGTATGCTAAGATTCACTTTCCGCGGAAGGAACATGAGAACATACAGTATAAGGAACCCTCAAATTGAAGTAAACCTCATACCCACTTTTGGCACTTTGCTCATGGCTGGGCCAGGTCCTGGACCTTGGCCCACCCGGCCGCGCGCCAAACCACGCACCGCCAAACACGCGCGGGACCGAGCTGCCCGGCCGACGAGGCCAACGGCCTTGGGCTTCTGGGAGTCGTCGAGGACTCCTCACGGCTTTCGTCGTGGAGGTGAGGTTTCCACGGTCGAGTCATCCTGAGCCGTATGTTTGCGTCCAGTGCTCCAAAAACACGGCCAAGAGGTAGCCAGTGACCGTAAATAGGAGTATATAACCTGGGGTACCTATAGTCTATAAGGTCCTTCAACCTCTGTTGGTGGGTTTCCCTGTTGATATCCTTCAAGATCATTCTGTACACAAAAAAACACCTGGGTTTGCCTCCTCCACCTCCAGCTCCCTCCGCTGTTCGCCTCTCTCCGTAGCTGTTCGTAGGTCCCGGTGTTTCGGTGACGGTTGCTGCTGCTACGCTCCACCGGGCGGGTCAAAGGTCGGAGACCTCCAGGTGTTGACCACCCCGACGCAGACCGTTTGGTGGTTGGGAATCCCCCGTCGGGGGCCCCACAAATGTGAAGAGCATCATCATGCTCTCCACCGTGCTCGTCACGTCGACGTCACCCCAGGAGCTCGACGTCAAGGCCCGAGCTGGTCCGACCCGCCCTGACGCAACACCTCCGCGCGAAGAAAGGATCCTGGCCCAGCAATTGCCCTTCAAACCAGGCGGGGGGGTCGGGGGGTGAAAATCGAAGCCACAGAACAACCCTCCCACTGTCCGCACGCCGACTCCCGACTCCGGCGCTTTCCCGGCCTCGGGCCATCCGCCGCCGCCTGGGCCTTGACAGGTGAGGGGAATCAAAGGATTCATCAATTCAAGGAACGTCTATCTATCTGGTACCTTGCTATTCCGACACCCAGTTCCTACTTGGAAGACACCCACTTATAAATAGAAGTTCCTTTCAATGTTAACAATCATGTAGCAACTGATGTATGATTTTGTGGGATGTACAATTCCCTCAACCAAACAGAACGGGCAAAGTTGTAACATGTACCTCCCCAATGGGCATAAAGCGGTTCTCTAACCAGCCCAGCACCCTTTGACTGGTCAAATATGAGGTTCTATGTGAGCATAAACGTCCGTGGAGTCGGGGTTCAACTGGAACCTGAGAAAAGTCAGGGTCTTTTCCAAGCGTTCGACGTTTGCCAGAAAGTATGTTCGGACCCTCCCTTGATACCTGCACTGTTCCTTCCACGAATCGTTGGAAAACGCTTCACCTCTCGATGTTGAGACGGAATAGCTCGACAGGCCAGTGAAATGTCCTTGAGAACAAAAGGTCGGAAGCTGCGCTGAGTCACTAGCCCATAAAACCCAACCTCCACAATTAATGATATGGATTGACAGGGCTCCAAATCAACGCTATCTCATTTCAGGGCGACTTGCTGCAGTCTTCCCTTCTGAGGGGGCCTGCCCCTAGGTACGACAACAAATAGGGTTCTTAAAGGCTGTTGAAATAAATATGTTACTGTTGCTTGCTGTTGCTTGCTGTTGCCATCCGGAAAAAGAGCTCTTTTCAGATCATTAAGTGTCATTCCATGAAACTATGCAAGTCCTCATGCGCTGTATTGAATCGTTTAAAAACAAAAAAGTAATGTGTTTCAGGGCACCCCAACCTCCTCCTCCTCCGGCACTTGAAACCCTCCCACTCGCCTCCACGGCCCACCCCCGCGTCCGGGGCGTTCCCTTCTTCGGCGGCTGGAGACCCGTCGTGACGCCGGGCGAGCACAGGTGACCCGTCGTGACACGCGACAGTGACGGAAAGGTTCCACCAGACTAAGGAAGTCAAGCGGTCAGACTGGTGTTCTAGGGGTGAGGTACTACAACAGGGCAGAAGGGTGTTCTACAAACATGGCGTGTTCTAGAGGTACTATATAAAACCAACAGATCCAAGATTGGGGCCATGCCGCGAACGCTGCCATGTCCATGCCCTGTCCATCATCGGCTGTCATTGACCATGTTGCTGATTGCAGGCTGGATCATGACGGATTCGTCTGCTTCTGTGGGTTCTCCGATTCTACCGGCAGTTCCATGGAGTTGGGTGCTATCCATGGAGGCAGGAGGTTAGGTGCCCACATCCACGAGCCCTGGATGGGACTCAGCAATACCCAACTCCATCTGCAGGTTCTCTCCCCTGTTCCTTGCATCATTCCTGTGGTCCCTTCGGCTGAAGGCCGAAGGCCCCCCCCGGCCAGGAGCCATCGGTGCGGCTCCTCTGAGCGTGGCTCCTGGACCTCGGAGCGTGGCGCATAACTGGCGCAGAACTGGCGCATGTTCATGAGGGATGTCTATTGAAGAAGAGGTTGATATAGACACCTAATAACCCCAGGAAACTGAGGGACACCCCTTCAAATGAAGAAGGATCATCCTAATAACCCCCGGAAATCCCACCTAATGGACACCCCAGGAAGAGCATGTTGACCGATAGACGAGGTTCTAAGGGGTGTCCATGAACCACCCCGACCGTGGGTAGAGTCTTTGCCGATGTTCATCTTGGCAACCCAAGTTCATGATGCCGACGAACTCTTTCTGTCCATCTGCACCCAGTTTTACCGTGGTTTTACCGGATTTAAACCCGCTCAACCTGTCTCCGTTTTCCGTGCATACCCTAAGCTGGGTCCAAAAATAAAGCATTCTCCCACCAAATCAAGCAGCTCAGCTCCGCACGCAGTTCAGCTTTGGGGTGATGGTTGCATCGTACACCCAGGTCAATCGATTCCCCTAAATCCCCGCTTTTGGGAGTTGCTGGCCTTTCCAAGAAAACCTTTCCTTCTCGGGTCTTCTAATCTTGCCACGCAAACGACTTCGATTTTGTTTTTTGATCAAATGTATGGACCCTGTTCATTGAAACACGGAAGAAAAGAACACCTGGACAAGAAATGCAGTGCCCGACATGAATGGATGGTCCTCAAACCGAGCGACCTCTCCTTGCACGGCACCTCTTCTCAGAATCCCCAGAGTTCGTGTCAGCTGAATCCCTCTCGTGCTGGTTTCTTCCGAAAACCTCCGATCAGAGACCCCCCACTTGAAGCTCCATCGGCAGCGTCTTCAGCATCGCCTGGGCGTTCTCATCCCGCACCTTCGGCGTGGCGGTCCCGCGGCGAAGGATCGGATGGCTCGCGGTCCAGCTCGATACCGGTCCAGCTCAGTTCCCAAAACGCCGGAGGATAGGAGGGTCCACTCACTGGGTGGGACCAAAAAACCACCCCCCTGGACCACCCATTCGTACAAAAAAAACATGCTCTAATGGGTTGTTTGATACACTTCTTGGGGGTGCGAGCGTTTTTTCTATTAGAAAGATGTTCTCGAGCACCATTTTTTTGGTCGAGCACTTTTCTTGGTTACTGGATGGTTTTGCAGATGTTTGTTGTGAAGACTTCAATAAATCCAAATCTCCCGGACTTTGTGCATTTTTGCACTCGCATGCAGCCATTTGGCATATAGATGGGTGGGCACTGGAAAATGAAGGAACAGGAAGGCGGGATGTGCAAACGTGGCAGACTGGTTGATCAATAAAACAGTTGTCACACCCTGCAGACTCGTGGCAGCAAACTATGGCGGAGTTTGCAAAGGAGCTGCGCTCAAGTCAGGCTGATCCGCATTTGGTGGATCAATACAACTCTTTGCAAAAACGGTGATTTGCATTATGTGACTGAGTCTGTTGCCCGCGCGGGATCCGCAAAACGAGCGCAAAAAATCCGCAAAACGAGCGCAAAAAAGCGCAAACGAGCGCAAGTTGAAAAACTGGTTGTTTCCACTTGTGTTTTTTGCGGTTTGGAACACTTTCAGGATGATTGCATGTCAGCTACCCTTTTGAACTCAAACCTCAAGGGCTGCTGGGATGTCAAAGGAAAGCCTAGACCTTGGACTCTTGAAGATTCGGACCATTCAGCGGTGCTTAGGAGAGTATCGCAGACAGTGGGCGCGCAAAGGATGGATCAAACGCAAGAGATAAAAATAGAGTCAAACCTAATTAACTTGTGCACAAGGTGCTGCTCGGGTGGTTACGGTGCAGGGCATGTGTGCATGGACTTGAATGCAATGCATTGTCTAGGAGACATGCTCGAGCACTTTTTGAGTGCAAAAAACAAACGAACAAAAAGGACTATGAAGGCTCCAAATCGAGCGCAAAAAGCTCGAGCACTTTTTCTTGGCTGTTTGGGGGCTACAGGCCAAGTAATACTGTTTCTGCCCCTCTTCAAAGACCCCCTTACCTCCACGCAGAAGCACCGCCCTTCCCCCTTCCGCACGGCCTCCGCATAGACGCCGCTGGTGGTCACCAGCCGCCCTCCGAAGCGCTCCAAGCGCTTCAGGCGGATGGCCGCACCAGCGTCGATGACCACCTCCGCGGGTCGGGGGCGCTTTTAAAGAAGGCGCTTTGCTCGGAAAGAAAGTCCAGAACCGGATGAATACTCCAAACCTACTCCATTATTATACATATACTCTTCATTACTCTTACATTCTATCCCCAGAATCACGAGATGACATAGTTTACCCATTGAAATAAAGGATGTCCTTTCTTCTTATGGCATTTGACTCTCGAGGGCATTCACTTGCCACGGGCAAAAGATCCAACGCGTGGGCAAGCCTGGGCACATGTTTCTGAGCTGCACCTGAAGATCGTTTTGAAGAAGGTTTTTGCAAAAACACTCCGACGGCGTCGCTGCCTGACGGCCATCCGCGCCCTGTTCCCAGAACGTCATGGAACCTCAGACTAGGCGTTCACAGCGGCGCTGAAGGCCGCTGTAATTATGCCCAGGCGGAAAGGAATATAAAGAAAACATTTCAAAAAACATTTAAAGAAAAAAACAACAACAATATATGTTCATAATGTGTTTCCTTGATTCTGCCTAACATACTCCCTAAGTGAGTTCTGTCCAATACCTGCCGTCCTGCTTTGTCCCATCTACGGACGCACGCTGTTCCATGCCCAACACCTTTCGTGCAAATCATATTATTGAGAGGGCAGTGCTAGACGAATTAACACATAGATTGCAATATGGATGCCGTATTATTCAAAAACTGAAGGAGGAATCTCAGCTGGGGATCTCGTTCGGATGCCATTCCAACGTCGTTGTCCTGGCCCAGCAACAGAAGGTACACTCCGAGGTTGTGTCCGAGGTGTCACTGGAGGAGGTGGGAGAAGGTGAGTCATCGACATTCTACACAGCTGCACTCAAGACCAATAAGATATGGCCCTTCAAAACCTTGAGCCTTTTTTGCAGGGCAGCTTGCCTTCTTCGATGGCGCCTGCTTCCTTCCCCTCCGTGGACGGCAGGGCCGCTGAGCCTCTCACTGTTTTTTCAATCGATCAGCTCTTAGGGATCGGGCGCGCCATAGAGAGAGTATTCCGCCAAGGGAACAAGCTCTTGGTGCTTTTTTGCCGTGCGAATACACTTTTAAAGTCATTGGGTATAGTGGAGCAAAAAGTCTTGCTCAACCAGTCACAGCTCCGGCTGTCATAAATGGCGGCCTTCAAGAAGTGACTGGACTGCAGTTCGGCCGTACGACGCACGTGGTCAATCTGCCACAATACTTGTTTAAGACTGCTGCTCGTACCCCATGGAAGCAAGTCTTTGCACCATACGTCCGCCGTCACGCAGACTAGCAACGAAGGCTACGAAGAGACACGTCGTGCATCATGTGGTCGACGTTGTTTTGGCGCGGCATTCATATGAAATTTAGGTCTGCAATGTATATTTCGGAGGTGTCGTCCTATAAATGGCTGTGGCCGGCTATTGAATGCTGGTTTTCCTACCACCTAATTGAAGTCTCGCGGGGTCGTACGGAACTGTGGCGGAAAAGTACCTTGATTTGGAAGTATCTTGCTAGTCTTCTTGGATCTTCTTAGTCTTCATTCATTTCGGGCCTGCATCCTCCACCATGACACTCAATGGCACAACTCGGATGTAGAGTTCTTCCACCTCACTTCATCCAATTACCCGGTTACCCCATGGCCACAACAACACACCGGAACCGCACCACAGTGTCTTCTGATTCAAGTTCTCAAGGGTGCACTTCCTAAAATGACTATTAACTATATACGTTGATGGCATGGCCCCCAATAGGATGACCATGTTCCGAATACCAAGCAGGTGGTGCCATCCACGTTTTTATATAGATATTGACTTAGAGTAGATCGTGGTCGAGTCAATGAAAGCAACGATCCCCAGTCGTCTGCCACCCAGTCGCAGAGCGCTTGAGAGGCGCGCACGCCGCTGTCAGAGGGGAGAGGTTTGGGCTCGCAAACCCCTGGGCTGTTCGGCCTGTGCCTTCTACTGTTTCTCCTGCTGTTTGGCTCACGAACGCCTGTTGCTGAGACTGCTGTGCCTCAGACACTCTGGACCCTTGTTGAGACTGCCGTGGGCCTGATGTGTTTCATCATGCTTGATCCTCAACTAACTGACTGACTATATAACTATAAATATCGGTACTTCACGTGCCCACATCGCGCACGACACGCTTCTTGTCACATGGCCATCAAATACAACTTTTGTGTACATATGAATACATACGTTTCTGATGAATCAATCCTTGAGCCCGAGCAGCGGCATAGAAGCACAAACCTCTGCACGGCACCATTGACTTTGAACGGCTATCGGCTATCTGCATTGGATCCAAAGATGATGTCTCCGTCCTCGGGCGGAAGAAAACGAATGCCCATCACGGCGGTTTCTTTGTGTTCTCAACCCTGAATGCAGCCTGGCGTGTGTGTTTTTTGCACCATCCATACAAGTCCGGTAAAGCACCGGAGAAAACCCACGGCTTTCAAGCCACCAGCAAGGCTCGCAGCATCCCAGTAGGACATGTTGGGGACACTTTTTCGCCGCCGCGCAGCATCCGGTCGCAGTGGAACGAAGGTCAGGACCCTGAGTTCCATCCACGTGCCGGTCGTTTGACCGGAAGCTCATACCTCCTCCGGTATGAACAAAGAAAAGACGGCTCGCACCTGGCCCCAGGGCGGATCGCGGTGGCGGGTAGAACGACCACCCCATGGGCCCACGGCTCGCACATGCTCCCAAAGGCAGCATGTGGTCCGGTCGACGTCCTGGTGCCCTTCACATCGACATCCGTCACGTATGGAACACCCGTTCTCGTCGTAAGGGAAGCGATCCTCGTAAGGGAAAGCGTAGGAAAGCAGTCAGTGACCATGCCATCCACGTACCCATGTTGGTGAGTCAGAGATCTGCCGGCTAGCTCCCTCTGCCACAACTCCATTAGGGGTTGTGACATGCTGCGGGTGACCATCTGCTGCTGGAAGCTGAAGCCGTTCTTGGCGGGATCTGCTGCTGCGTTCTGTTGCCGAACTGTGACCACAAATGCCACATGGAAACCCGCTGCGTGACCCAGTGGTTGCGCAAACCCCCTCTTGAGGCTGCATGCTACCCGAGTGCATCTACCGTGGTTGCTCAATCTTCTGTGGCTCTGCGACTGTGGCATGGCTGGCGCAGTCATCTGTTGCAAGCCACATCCTTGGCTAGCAGCTATGGCACACTGCAGTTCATCCGGTCACACTCAGCCAGCTCGACCCAGGACAAGCGGCGACTCCGGGAGATCTCGGGTCGCTCTCGCAGGAGTGGCCAGTTCCACGCCCATCTGCCAGGCCACCAAGCTCATGCGCTGGACCTTGCTTCCAAGGAGGGGGAATAGAATCCGACATTCGGCCGCGGCAAAGAAAACCCATCGCTGTTCTTGCCATTGTCTGCGATTCCTACCCTTGGACCTTGAGGGGGATCAAAAAAAATGACCTCTCGAAAGTAGGAACAGTCTGAATATGCTCCTGAACATACATGAGTCTCCTCCCCAACAAAGCACCGGCAGGGGAGAAGAAAACGACTTAACCAGCAATTTCTCCGCGTCTTGAGTCTTGTGGTTGACAAATTATTCCCACAATCACAATCACAACAAAAACATCAAGCTTTTTGCCAGAGACACGAATCCCAATCCAAGCTATGTCCACCAAGCCTTCCACAGTTGAAACATCCCTCCGAGATCGCTCGTGGATGGCTAGCTAGGCAAGGGCCAGTGATTTCAGCCCTCCTGCGAGCGGAGAACAGGCTCCAGATGCCCCTGCTTTCAATCACTCCCTATTGATCAACCAAGTCAAAATCTCCGTGTCCCTTTCACTATGAACGACGGCCCCAGAATCAAATCAAGCTTCGATGATGTATTTATATAGTTATTTATATTTTATATCAGGTCATCTTAGAAGTCATCATGTCGTCCCTCACGTCCCTTCCGTCCATGTTGGGCCTCGTAGGCCTCGTAGTCCTCCTCTTCCCATTCCTCTGCACCTTCAGGTTCCGGAACGCAACTTAGCACGTGAAGCGCCTGGCAGTGACCGACCAACCACGCACTGTGCACCTGGCGAATCCGAATTTGTAGCAGGTCGAGTCGATTCCTATAGGGTGAACCAGAATGGGTGCCTTTCCCGGAAAGGTGTCTGGATGGCATTGGTGATGTGAAGAACATGATGTTCATTGATTTTCCCACTGCTTCAAGATCTTCAAAAATCCACACACCCACCCACCCACCCACCCAAAGAAAATAAACCCCACGACTCACGACCACCGAAAAAACCGCCGCAAAACGTCTTTTTCTTCGGCTTCTTCGTTCGCGGTCCCCGGGCGCCCGTGGTGAGACGTGGGGGGGGCGCGCGGGCGGTTCCGGGCCATGTGCGTCTAACAGAGCTCGTGCCCCTCGGGGGGCGGTGAGTGGGTGTGACCCGAGATGTGGGGGGGGTCATCCGAACATGGACGCAGGGGTGGTCGAAAGGAGAGAATACGAGAAAAACGGCCCCAAAGCGCGGTGGTCGAAAGGAGAGAGGCGACCTTCGGGTCTGATTTCTTTGAAGCCACACCCAACTGACTTGGCAACTAGATCGCTTCTAACTGGTCGACTTCGCTCCAAGCTCTGGTCGCTCAGCCCAAGGGTTTCTTCACCCAAGTGCTGGCCGATGGCAAGGCCTGCCAGCTGGTACAATTGCCGAAGAGCCGGCACTTGCCCTCCTCCTCACTCCAGCTGGCAAATCCACATCCGCTCTGCTTGATGCAGTTCATCTTGCAGGACGCACCGCTCTTCGCCTCACGAAAGAGTAGAGTGCACTCACTTTTTTCGGGGAAACGCAGTCCGGGGTGAAAGGGACGCCAGAAAGCAATCCGTTGGGACACCCCTGCTGTGGAGTACCATCAGGATCCAGTCATGACAGAGAAGACTCTTGGGAGTCTGCTTGTACCACCAGCTTGGGATGGCCAGCACGCGATGCCCCCTTGAGGTTGTGAGATCAGATGTTCTACACATCGTCTACCGGTCAAACCTTCTGCTGCGAGAGCTTCTAAAGGAAAGTATAGACTTCAACCCTCGAAGATCGTCGCTGCCTTGAACATGCCGGTTTGAATCACTTTAAGAAGGTGATGGGAAACCAACCAGGCGCTTCACCAGGTAATTCTACACCAGGCGCGCAAAACACCAGGCGGCAAGCATTGCAAAAACTGGAAGGTGCTGGGAGGTTCAATGGGTTTATGCTTATATCGGCTTATATCATCTGATGGGAAATTCACGGATGATTCGCTGGTCACATTGTTCTATCTATGTCATTTTGCTGTAGGTTTCTCTCATATGTCGGGATCATTCTAGGCATCACTACACACCCAGAATTTGGCAACTGGGAGTCATAACCCACTACTACCCCCTGGTGAAGAATGAGTCGTTGCACTCTCAGGGTCATTGTCATTCCATTCTCGCATCCCAGCGGTCCCTCATCTGTGTCAGCACCGCGCCTCATCGGGCTGTGGCAGGAGAGTGCCAGTGCACTTGCCCAGGCCTTTGTCAGACGGATACATGATGAAGCCCTTGGAGGCCTTGCAGGCCAAGAAGGACTTGTATCGACCGCCTTTGCCATCCATGCCTCGGATCGCGGACGGAGCGCGTGTCTTTTTCGCGCGAAAGGAGCGGTTCTGGTCTCGTCTCGTTGGTTCGGCACTCTGCAAACATATGTCTGTTCCAAGTTTCATGTGAGCTACAATCCAAACCTACAACCTCTTCAATCCCTTTCAATGGTTAAGGTGGGGAATTCCTCGTTCCTCCCGAACCAGTCTCAGCCGATCCATCTCACAGTCAGTGCAGAAACCCATCGAACCTTCCCTCTCCCCCGCGACCTCCTCGGACCTGGGATCGAGCCCAGCGCAACGCACGGTTAGTTCGTCAGGTCGATTCGTCGATTTGGTTCGTCCAACAAATGCCTCCTGGAGACCCCAAACGGGCTTCCTGGAGAAGGCCTGCTCATAGGTCCGACACGTCTCCGTGGGTTCCTGGGTCAGTTGCCCATCGCCGATCTGCACCCAGCTGTTCTCTTCGGCACCTCGGTTAGGCGCGGGTTTGGGCGTGTTTGGGCGCAGCGCAAGAGGTGATGGGAGGAGGAGGTGGCCCCATGAAGTTGGTGGACTAGTGTGGGATCTAAGCCGATCTAAGCATGGCCAATATAAAGCAACAATCATTGTGGTAATACCCGGAAATCTATATAAGGTTCTTTGGCCCAACGAGGACCATCCAAGAGATCACAAACAACTACTAAGAAGTCCAATTCGACGAGAAGACTGGCACCACCAAAGTACTGGAAGTTCATGTTTTTTGGGGGGTTCAATGCAAGACCTTTTGCCTCGTTGTGGACTCCCATTCATGAGATCGGCTGCCTCTCGGCTGCCCCCTCCGATCCGGCGGCTGAGATCGCCCAAACCCAGCCGAGGCACCTCCCAGGGGAGCCCACTGGTCCCCCGGCGGACTTTTAGGGCTCACAGTGAGGTTCCCCTCGCCTTGGCAGTAGTCCTCGAAGTGCGCGAGCCTCAGCAGTCGGAACGCTGATGAAAATAGTTGACCTGGTGTTGTAGGGTGCAAATTGTTGGTTAAAAAAGGGTTCTTTGACAAAGACCTTTAAAATCAATGGTTGTTGGAATTTCCGTGGATCTTGTATCTCCTGAAGACCCAAATCACCACTCCCAAATCGGTCATGTCCCAGGAGCTTCATGTGCCGCTTCACGCAGAAGCTGACGGCATCAATGTAACTCTGCCGGTTCCAGCCATCTCGGAACGAGAACCACACCATCGCCTCGCAGTCCGCTGAGGCAAGCTGCGCAAGGCTCGCAGCTTGCGGTTCCATCCGAAGGCAAAAAAACATCGGGAAAAACAAACAGATACAAAGGAATCCGCTCCTGAGAGGTAGAAATTGAGCATCCATCATCCCCGCAATTCAAGAAAAAATCATCGTAAATGCACTTCGTGAGTCCCAAACCGACACTGTCCGAGACCCGTCCGTAGAAAGCACTTAACCCATCACCACCACTGATGCAATCCCATCTTCTCCGCTCCAAACCCCTTGACCGGTACTTCGGTCCACCTGGCTTTTCACCCAAAACAACCTGGTACCACCTGGTCACCACTACCCTCCCCCTCGAACTCCGAACCGAACCCAGTCCGCGCCCAGTCCACCCGACCCGCGCCTTGGGCACCGCCAGGGCGCCGGCCAGGCGGCCGATCATCGCCGCGCTCAGCGGCTCGGCATAGAGCGCCAGGTCCTGACGGAGACTCGGGACCGGTGGGGCGGCTGGTGACCGGGGAGCCGGCGGAAAGGAGCCGGGGGAACTCCACCAAGACCTTCGGTGGCTGAAAAGGAATCCCAGTGCATCATCTAAAGTTCGTGCGAAGAATGAGTGCAGAAAACAAACATGTCTCAGAGGGCCTTTCTTGGTGTGTCCTCTGCTCCTGATGCCTTTCTTGGGCCGTTTCTCGTGACTCTCTCCCGTCGACTCTTTGAGATGCACCAACCCGACTTTCCACACCACCTGGAAGTAGAGTTGTAAAGGAACATCGTCCACTTCCTTGTGACATGCCGTCCACTTCCTTGCGATATGTTCGGAGGGCAGGGCAGCCCTGTATGAGCCAGAGTGGCTCTGCTTCAGCCTGACGTGTACCCTCCTTACCGCCCCAATAACTTGGGAGCCACGATCCACGAAAACCGCTGAGCTGAGCTTCGATCCATGCAGAAGAACCATCGAGTCGAGTGGCGAAACCCCGTTTTGGTACCCCAACGCACCGTCGAACGCCCTGGCGTCTCCTGGGCGTTCTTTGGCAAAGGCACGGTTTTTTGTAGACCCTTAGAGGTGTTTTCTATAAACAAAGGCATTGGGGAGTTCAAAAAAAACTCTTCCTATATATGGTGGGGCTAGAGGTTGATTCAAGAGTTTCCATTCCCATCGACACGTTCGGGGAGGGGCCTTCAACGCGCCGGTCCAACGGGCATTGCCCTGGTACGCGCCGATCATCACCTTCGCCTGCTCGTCGGGCGAGTAGCGCCACCTGGCGCCACAGCTCAGGGGGGTTGACCAGGAGGGTTTGGAGTGGGAGTAGGCCACCCCTGGAATGGTGCACAGAGACTTCGAACCACATCTTTTGAGGACCATTCATATCCAGTAATAAACACCCCATGGCCGGCACCAGCATGAGGGAGGCGCGCAGGACTTTGGAGTAAGATGGGTCAGGCAGCGTACCGGACACTGGTCACGTGATGCATCTGGCTCTGGAAAAACAAGTTCTGTGGGGATTCCGGGCGAAGCAAACGAATTCGCATCGGATTCGCTGTTGTAACGGTGCGATCACCAACATACACCTGGACAACAGACTGTCTGGAAGATGGTCTTCTTCTACGTCTTCCACGTTGGTGAGTCAGAGGGGGTTTTCACGTTGCCATGAGCGGGGCTGCTCTTTCTACTCAAGGCAGCCAGGCAGGGGTGGGCCCTTATCTTTGAGAGGGCCCCGTCGACCTCAATTTAAGCATTCCGTGCGAGAGCTGTCGCTTTGCTGGTGAGAGCTGTCCAGGCTCCACTGAAACTGGCCAGGGCTGCTGGAAGGGGCAGGCTTTTACCTCCAAAGCATTGAGGTAGATCCGCGTTTCATTCCTCGGCCCAGCCGTGCCAGCGGTACTCAAAAACGAAAGCGACACTGTTGGGTGGAACATGACCGTCGGTTTACGGGATCCTCATAAACCGAGTTGGCGCAAGCCCTGTGCCAGAGCCCTTACGGGCAGACGGTTCTAAGTCGCTAGAAGCAAGTGGGAAGAAAGGGGTCCTCACAACGGCTCTATCTATCTATCTATTTATCTATCTATCTGTCTGTCTGTCTATCTGTCTATCTATCTATCCCCATCCATCTCTCTCTCTCTCTCTCTCTCTCTCTCTCTCTTTCCCTCTCTCTTTCTCTCTCTCTCTCTCTCTCTCTCTTGAAAAAGGGGGTCAACTGAACGTCTACAATGCCTTTCCCAGTGATTTGCTATATAGCTT